ACCAATGACGGTGTGGCAGCAGACACGACAACAATCCAACGAGAAATAAAGTGGTTAAAATTCCACTAAAGTCAGCCGTTACCGTGTATTAAGAAAAGTTTCATCGTCACTGAACTACAGCTGTTTTTGTACACACGTTGATTTTTTTGGATGTCATTTAACAATTCAGCAACGGTAAGACCTTTATATCTCCAATTCACACGACTTGAATATTTATTATTATTATTGTTATTATGTTATATGGTCAGCGATATTCCGAAATCTTCTTTGTAAATCATAAGCGTACCAAGATGTCCAAAAATTAATATTTAATATTTTCTCGACACTTAATACTCGATTACAAATAAAATTATTGAAATACAAACCGATGAATAAAACAATCCGATAAAATACTCCTACAATTCGTTCTATTATTTTTTGCAGTCTAAATTTTAATATCAACTAGCTCAAACTACATTCTAAGTTGACTATAACTTCGGTTTATTTTAATGTTTTAACGACTTTTTAATTTTTATTCATGAATTTTTAAGATGCAGTACACTAAAAATTAAAAAAAAAAACCGTGAGGATAATACATTAATAACATTAATACATATAATATACTTGTGAACACCACTGTATAAAATTAGGCTTAGTAATGGCGAATATATTATGCTAACTTTCACGATATTATCAACTACGTTTGGTAGCGGAGACATTTACGAGTTACGTATTTTATATATATATACATATATACTTTTATCACTCGACACTCAAGTGAAGTTTTTGGCTCCTCTTGTCTGCGATCTTGCCAGCGATAATATTGTGAACGGATTTCGTAAATCCGCGTATTGTACCTGTGGATTTAACGTGATCTTTGTCTAGCACAAACCGCTTTTACTGACCATTTGATATCCTAAAAATCGGTAACGCTAAATATGCTATAGACGATTACACATTTTATTTTATATTTTTAAGGTCTACGTTCTTCAAATGTCAATACAATTATTAAAGTCCGTCCATAAAATATAATATTTTATGTACATTATATGCGTAGTTGATAATATTGAAACAACTAATAAAATATGATATTTATTTAGGATTAAAATCCGTTAAATATATTATATTTTATTAATTCTTTGCTAGTAGTTGCATATTAAATATTTTTAAATTTTAGTTTACTAGTATTTTATTAAATTGTATTGAGTAAATAATATGTAATAAAATACATTATTTACTATAAGAAAGTTACTCATATTATCAAGTAAGGTTATTATTTTATTATTATTAATAATAATATAGCATATGATATATAAATGTACAAGATATTTTAACTCCATGACTAAATCAATTATAATTCTAAGTAAATGAAGATTTTAATTGTAAAACATTATCATATTATGTTGACATATCTAATAAGAATATCTTATTTAAATATAGGTAGGCACTGACTTTTTCGCTAAAATTTGCATCAAATTGTTTAGCAAAAACATAAAAAAAATTAAAGATACATTAAAAATACTATCTCCTTTTTTTTTTTTTTTTTTTTTAGAATTATAAGTTGAGTTTAATTTACGACTAAGAATAAAATATACTTTTAAATTAAAATACATTAAAATAATTGGCATACATTCAACTTGTCAGTTTATAAACAACTCATATCTATATATATATATATGATAATATTAATTTAATGCTACAGTATTTACCTATGTATAGTGAAGTTGCTTATGTAGAACGTAATACAGTTATTTTTCAATTATTCATCTTTGAAAGTACAATTTTTAATTTTATTGAAATGTTTATTATATGAAATTAAATTAATAACTTAAGATAGATAAAATATTTTTACCATACTTATTAAACAATCCTATTTAAATATATTATTTATATTTATTAATTGAAAATTGTATGAAAGTTTTACATACATGAAACAATCTTATAAGATGACCGAAACTTTTAAAGGACCGTGAAAATTTACGTATTATAAGCAGATTTAATGTAAACGTATTTAACATTTATACTTTAATGTTTATCATCAAAATTATTATAGCAAATATTTTTCCTGACCACAAAATGTACCTATAGTGAATGAAAATAACTCTAACATTAGTATACCAATGAGTTTGTGACATTATTATTATTATTATTGTAAATTGTATTGTATTTTTTACGATCCATAATACAAATAAGTGTATAGTATAAAAGTTGAATCGATATTTCATATAGTGTATTAACTTGGTTACTATCTACTATACAGTCTCATAAAGTTTCGGTGCTCGTCCGTATCCGTGCAATAATGGTAAACCGCAACTAGTGGCATATTTGTCACACTTTCCAGGGTCGGAGGGGAGGCAATAAGTTATTTTTCTCTACCTAACCATTACTGTCGCTGTTCATGAAACAAATACAAAATACTTACACGCGATATTTTAATGCAATATGCGAATTTTATAAATTTGTTTATCTCCTATAACTACGTATATAATATCATGTACTAAAGTATAGGTACAAGAAATATAGTATTATGTTTGCGCATCCAATTACATACAATAATATAAATACAAAATAAAAACGTATATATTAAATCGTAAGTTATTAATTAACGCACTTTATTAAGTGTTTTTTTTTTTTTTTTTTTTTTTAAAGCGAGATAGAGTGGGTTAAATTTCTAGAGTAATTAGAGAAAACAGTATAAACAGTAGTTAATATTTAATTATTATAAACATGATAATTTAAAACATATATACGTCAGTATAAGGACAATAATTCATTAATAATCTAATGATAAGTTAAGATACTTTTAAACACGTTTAATATTCGATTGCTTTCAGCAAACAGTTGGGTAGCAAAAACATTAGTCTTCGTGACTTCAAACGGTCTAAACTCGAAGAAACAAGATAAATGACTAAAATCTGAGCACTGATAATACTAATAAATAACAATAAACGAGTGTTTTGAATTCCTAAATGCATTCAAGTGTAAATCTTAGCATATAATTGCTAATTTAAGTCATTGTAATTTTAGTCTACTGTTGTTTTAAGCATTTATTATTGAATTGAGTAATATATTCAAATATGTAATGTATTCTAAAAATGAACAAATTGTTAAAAGTTAGGACTTATGCTTAGAACTTTATGATGAGATAGTATAAATTATTTTCTAAGTATAATTTTAATACAATTATATAATTTGTGTAGATTATCACATAAATTAAAATAATTTCAAATAATTATTTTCCTAATTATACTTTCTATTTATTAAAATACAGAATTCAGACAAGCGAGTAAATCAATTATTAACTCTTATTTTTATAATATATATATCAATTATAATTGTTAATATCATTAACAATGACTATTTGAAATAAAAGTACTGCTGTTTGTGTATTGAAAATGGACAAATTATACACCTTATTTCATTAACCTTGATAAAAAATATTGTTGTTTATAAATTATTGACCAATTATTAAGCAAAACATTTAAAAATAATATATCAATTATGAAATGTATGTCAATTATTATAATGAATTATTAATTTCGACTTATTTTTGTTTTATTTTTAGACAACTTATCAGTGTTTCAAACATGTTTTTAAAAATGTTATATTTTAATAAATTATTTTCATTTGTTAAAAATGAAATTTTTATAAATAAAATATTTTATACTTTAATTTAATTTAAAATATTTATTCATTGTATAATTTATCCAAACATAGTTAACAATTTATTTCTTTTTAAAAATCTACATTCTTAGTCATGTTGGATAAAAAAAACAGACATTGTTACATCTTAATAGTGCTAAATACATTTAGATAAAATTCAGAACAATATGTCCTACTCATTATAAATTTAAACGTATAAAAAAATGTATTTAAAAAAATATAAGAAAAATATTATAGTATATTTTAATACAAATATTTAATTATACTATAAGATTAATATTGATATTAACTACAAAAAAAATGTTATAGTATCCAAGCCATTAAAAGAAAAAACAGTATAATATCTTTGTAAATAATAATCAGGTAAGTAATAAAACATTTAATTTTATCGATATTCATAATTAATAAAAATGTAATTGCATACAATGTATTGTTTTAAAATTAATAATGCAAACTAATTAATTGATACAAATATCCATTTAAATTATAATATAAATGTATTATTAAACTGTGGTGTAGATATTGATGAATTAAAAATTAAGTTTGAAAAAAAAAATAAAAGTATATTAGCTTTAATACATAATTGTTTAATAAATGTATTCAATGTTTTGCTTTGGTTTAAATTCTAAAAGTAGTTTTATTAGTGATCCTACTTATTTTTTATTTAAGTTAATTTAAATTCGCAATATAACAGATGAATACATTTTATTTTACTCTACGTAGTAAATAATTAAGAGGTAAAAAGTAAGTTAAATAAAAAAATAAATCAAATGTTAATCTGTTATCGTTTTATTTTTATTAAATAATTAATCTTTTTAATTTTAGTATTAATTATTTCTAAAAAATCTAAAGAAACACATTTATATATTGAAGTAAAATATATTGACTATAAAATACATTTTTATTTGAAAGCAAAATTTTAAATTTTATTAATTTTATAACTTATAAATAACCAGTTACTAAAATTTTGTTCAAAAGGACAAACATTTTAAAGATTTAATCTATAAATAATAAATATACATTTAATGTTTTAATTAAATGTAATTAAATTTAAATTTAAATAATCGTGTGGTACATCGAGCTTGTTATTGTTATAATACTTGTTGAATATAAACATTTTAATACTATCCGCCCAATATGACTATAATTTCCCGAAAAAAAAGCAAATCAATTAGATTATCATAACATTGCCACGATAATCTAAATTCTAAAAGAATTTAAAATAATTTTTCAAACCAAAAAAAACTGTGACAGACAAGACCCCAAATTAACTACACGAATAAAAATACAACGATCAACTCATATAAAAGCTACTGCACAAATATAAATAAATATTAAAAATTATGTATTATGCTCACTTTTTCGGCGATGATAGTAGTAGCAGTTACGTCCACGGTCACGGTCGGTTATGGATGGAACATGCAATAAAAGCCGACCATGGCACGCGTGGTCGTACCGGTCAGCCGAAGTCGGTAACGATTAGAAGAGATTTTGAGAAAAAAAATTAAAACAATTGTCTCTTATACTCTAAAAACGGATTATTGTACCTATTATGATGCAGGCATCATGTTTCGGGAATAAAACACCACCAGCAGTCCTGATGTGTGAATCTAATCGCCGCGTTACCAAATAAGTATTGGTCAAAAATGTGACCTGTCTGATCGTTTTTTTATTGTTTTTAATTTTTCTTTTGAAATTGTTTAGAAATACTTTTATTTTCACGCATACGAGACGTGTGTCGAGGAACAAGCCTAACGTCACGTCTGTTAGTTGCGTTATCGCGAAACGGCGTGCGGTACGTAACTGTGAGTAGCGTGTAAGCGGGCTTCCGACTCACGACCGAAGGATACCGCGGAGAGGGTTGTTTAGTCCGAGTGGTGGCGCTCAAGTCACACAACCCCTCTATTATAGTTGTCCATCTGAATAAACGGACTGAAAAAAACCATGTTTCTTATATATTGTATTTATGTAATGTGTATATATAAATTCCAACGTATGTCCCGTGTCAATCAGAATTGTTAAAAAAAAAAGTCCCACCCTCACCAAGACGATTATATGTTTATTGTATATGGTATATTTTTATATGCTCTACTAAGCCTATCGTTTTTTTTTTCGATTGCCTGTCAACAGTCTGTTATTTTTATAACGAATCGAAAAATGTGTACATCGTTTTTTTTTCTATATCTAAATGTTATTTAATGTTAAATTATTATATTCTATACATGCATTTGATAATATCAAGATCAATAACTATTTGAATCATTTGAAGATACATTGGATAACGAATCACTTAACTACTGTCCAGTCTTAAATATCTAAGGTATTTAATTTTTTTCTATTGTATCGCAATAATTGGTATTATATTGCATCTGGTGTATAACAATTATAAATTTGTTTGAGAAAAAAAAAAATTAACATATTACTTGTCCATCATATGCATCACGATATTATGTGCTTTTATACTAAACTTCTATCTAAGATCTAATGAATAGTTGTGGTATATATATATACACTAAAAACATTTTACATCCCTCAAAAACATTAAACAAAAAAATAGCCTTTTTGTCAATAATTAATCTTATTACTTTTAGTTTTTAGCATTAAAACTATGATTCACGTATAAAATATACTATTCGTGTAATTATTAAATTATACAAATATTTTGAGACCTCGTTCAACCATCCACAAAACATTACTTGAGAAACACAAACATCAGTGTGTACTTTTTAATTCAAAAAAAAAAATTTATATCAACAAAAAATATACTTCTTTTAGTGTTATTTTATATTGCGTATAAGGTAAATGATTATTTTATATTTCTATGTGTATTATCTTTTATAAATGTATTTTATTTTAAGTATAATCAATTGTACAATGATCCATTCAATAATACAATTTAAATTCAATTAAAACAAATAGGAATAGATAGGAACACAAATAAAAAAAATAAACATATAAACAGTATAACAGTATAAACTACAATAAGAATTATATTAGTCTCCAGAATTCAATAGTTTATGTAATTAATTGCATGTTTAGTTTTAAGTTGGTACATAAAATACAAAATATAAAATGGATGGAATATTGTATGAATTTAAAAGGTTGAATAGAGAAGTGCGCTAGAAAGTAATAAAAGTTCAACTGAAAAAAAATAATACGAGACAAAAAAAGACATTTTCGTTGATTACAAACCAACGAGCTATTGTTATATGAACTTCTAATTTAGTAAATAATTAAATTTCATATTATGCACAACATTTATGTAAATCAATTTCAATACTTTTTAAAAAATAACGTTTAAAACTGCCTTGACTGTAAGCCTTAGAGTTACTATTGTAATATACTAAATGATTAAGTATGTTTATTTTAATATATTTTCTATATAAACCATTATTTGAAATAAAGATTTAATATTATGGTTTTTGATATGAAAATAATTATCCTGTGTTTGTTTTATTAAATTATTAAATACAATTCAAGATAGTTTAAACATAATATGTAGTTTTATAATATTATTGATATGCGAATGTGTATAAATTAAATATTATTTAAGGTTATATTATAAAGTGCACTATATTCTTCTCATAAAAAAATTCAGTAAAAAATATTAATTATTGTATAATATTAATAACTAGGAAAGTACACACCGAATAAAAAAAAAAAAAAAAAAATTATTAAAATAGACCCTTAAGTAGAATCTAGTATATTAAATCTGTCAGTAGGGTATTCAGTTACAGTAAACATTATAGAAAGTATTTAAATTATATAATATAATAGGCACCCACTATTATAGTTTATAAATGCAGAAATTATCTGTTAATGGATGATTAAGTAAAAATTTTAAAATCTAAAATATTAATTGTGTATGCTACCATTATTATTGGTTTATATTTCAAAGAAAAAAAATTAATTTTAAAATAAATATTACATATTATTTGCTAAAAAGAAAATATTAATTTATAAAATTACTTAGGTATTTTATATAATATCATTTTTAATTTGTATACAGTGCATACTTTGTAAAAAATAAACGATTTACATTACATAAATGAATAATTATTATAAAAATAAACCTTTGACAAATGAAATTTAAAACACTGTTATACAGAATTACAGTATTATATTATAATCCGTTTAGATTTTAATATTATAAACACTATCGAAATGTATGTAAAAATAGAAAATGAACTATCCCAGTGGGATTCGTGGACTAAATGAGAATATCTATTTTTTCGTTTCTTAACCATGTAGAAACGTCATCAAAGATATTATAGTCAATATTGTACATTATCTTACTAGATATTATTCTACCATAAACTTCTGCGGAAGTTATATATTTGGTGCCCTGTGAATATAAATTTGTAGAACGGATAAATGGTTGCCGGTAACATTTTAAGATTTCAATAATTTATACTATTACGACCGTAGAAATCAAAAACTGCAGAACGGGTTACCCACAATTTGTTACATGTGTTCTTGACTTTTGGAGCACTAATATTTTTTGTTCTGTTAATGGTAAAGAAATTAACGATAAAATAAATAACTGTATTTAATGTGGAATGTGGAATGATGTGAAAAAAAGTACATGTCAAACCACGCCGTAACCAAACTAAAAGGTTCAATAGAAAGAGCGAATCAAGATATTCAGAATCCACTAAGAGCTTGAATGTTTTATAATAACACTACAAAATGGATGGTTGGTCTACATTTTGTTCAATTTACAAAAAATACAGCATACCACGACGGTAAAGTCCATATGAAGTTATGTTTGACAAAAATCAAAAGTGGGTCTGTTTTCTTCTTATTTTTTTCGAGACAAAATATATAAACTTGAATAAGAAGGTCATTCGGAAAGCATAATAAAAAGTATGAGTACCTACCTATAATAATCACGTAGAGTTAATAAACTAAAAAGTAATAAATGATAAACAGATTCTGAAAATACTTATTGAAAAAGTCGAAAATCGAGTGATAATTAGAATACGAAAAAATTCCAAATACATATGCATTATTAATAAATAAATGAAACTTAATTTACTTTATTCAATTTTTTTTTTTTAGATAAATTAATTGATAAAAAATAAAATAAATAAATAATTTTGAATAAAAAAGTAGCAACCACAAATCTTCAAATACAAACCGTAAAAATATTGCGAACTTCAAAACTTAAGTTTCATCCGGCTAATGTTGAGGTTAGGCTTCGTACTTAAGTTTCACATGTTGATCGTAGTAAAATAGATACTCAAAATATTTTAGCTTTAGTATAAGGTATAGTAGATAATGATTTTTATAAATAAGCTATCAATTATAATTGTATTAATCAACTATATACCAGTAACTAGTTTTCAGTGTGTAAAGAAAATTTAATATCGATTATTGACGTACAAAGGGATCAACAAATTTCTCTTTGACAAGTATCTACATCAAATTCGTAAATTGACATGCACATCGCATAAAACAAAATTTAACACAAAACTGTGTGATGGTAGAAATATTGGTATTTTATGTAGTACAAAATGTCATGACAGTTTGTCATGTTATATTAAGTAGAATAATTTTCTCCCGCTTTTTAAAAATAATAATTTTTATTTGGTAAAATAGTCATAATTTAAATTAATAACAAGAATGTAATGTTTTTTTAATAATAATAATTCATTAATTTAATTAATCATGTTATATCTATTTTAAATTAATGTCAATAAACAATACTATAATATGTGCGATTATGTACTTATGTTAATATTAACCAAAATCATGTGTTGTATATCAACATTGACCAAAGTATGAATATAAATTTCAATATCTACTAATAAATGTCTACACTTTTTTTAATTGTTTAATATTCACTTATTCCCACCTATTTAGTAGATGCATGTTGACATTCACTGGACGACTGTCAGCATTCACCAATCGCGAACATTCACAGTAATATATATATTGTTATATATAAATGTTATATATATATATTATTTTTTTTTTCGAAATCGACATTAAATTATAAAGAAGAAAACTTCATTCAACATTTTTAAAAATAGACAAAATACATACAAGTTAATCAACATAGTTCGCATAGAAAATTTATAATAATAAAATAATATTTGCTATAAATGGTTTGAAAATATCAGTATTAGAAAGGCAACTAGAACTGAAAATACGTACATAATAAATGAATTTTAATTGAACATATCACTTTATTTATTTTAATTATTTTAAAGAGAAATAATATAAAATATATAACTACAGTACCATTAGAATTATGTTATTCCAAAACTATAGTAACATATTATAAGCACATTATATAGATAAGATAGGCACTTCAATAAGATGGGAACCTATTGTTAAATATTATGTATTTAGACAAAATTCATATTTTTTTTTTTTTAATGTATACTTAAATTATTTATTTAAAACGTAATTTTATCAAATTATGTGTCATTAATAGTAATAATAAATCATCATCTCTTAAAGATGCAATCAGATGCTCCATTGAAAGGAGCAAAAAAACACACCAACAACTATAGGACCAGGAATCCAACAATTAACGAAAACAAATCAGGCTTTTTCCAGATCAAAACCTGTATCCCTCTTTGAGTAAAAGACGAGAACAAACAATATAATCACGTATAAAAATTGACCACACGAACATTACCCACGTCCACTTAATGAAAAAAGAACCATGACCCTTGTGTGAATTCTGTAACACATCATTAATATCTATAAAACATCTCATTTTTTGAATGCCCTCAACTAGCTGAAGAGCAAAAAATATTTCTGATTCCAACAAGCCTAGAAGATATTACATCAATTCAAAACTT